AATAGTGTACATACCATTCTCCACGTATTTGAACCTTCAGTGGGAAATGTTTCCATAATACCAATTTTTGCCCTTCTTTTAATACCATATGTAATTCCAATTTTTACAAACCTGACATATGATTTGGTACCTTATGCATTGTTACAGTTGTACTATTAGTCCATCCAGTAAACAAAGTTTTATTTCGAGTTTTAGATATAAACTGTTCTTGGTTTGGTTGATAATTCTATTTAAAGAAAATTTTAGTTGCCAGGCATGGTATTTCAAATTGATCTTGGCCTGGTTTCGTTCTTTTTCATACCCAAATTACTGTTATTTGCAAATCTTTAGCTTCAATAGGCAAATTTGAGTTCTGTCCCAACGCAACATTTTGATTTACACTAACGGTTTGTGTTTTTTGTGGTGAAAGTTGTGATTCAGTTTGGATGGCAGCATTCAAGCAGAAGTATAGGATTAGTGTCATTGAGCTTTGCATTTTTTCTAGTTTCTGTTGCTGGGATGATTGTACTGGCTTTCTTGCGCAATTATTGTTTCTGGTTGCTGCGCCTGTGGAGAAATATTTTTTTCCAGCACAGTTTCAACAGATTTGCATAGTAGAATTTATTAACTTTTTTGTTTCCCTGTAAGATTCTAATTTTATACACAGAGGTAAATGCCTGTAACAGGAGGGTGCAGCAGTGAGCCCGGAAAGGCACTAAGGAACCCCACAGGGGGCTGCTGTAACGGGAGGGCGCAGCAGTGAGCTTGGAGAGGTGCTAAGGGACCCAGCGGAGGCTGCTGTAATGGAAGGGTGCTAAGGGACCCTGGCAAGGTGCTAGGGGACCCTAGCGGGGGCAGATGAAAATCCTGAGTCACTAGCTTTGGTTCACTCCCCTAGGATCTCAACAACTTCATGGAGAAGCTGATGATGGCGAACCTGTATGCCCCCTCCCCCAACAGTGCCATGAAGTGTAAAGCCGGGGAGATAGCAGGTGCGAGGCGGTGGGGAAGGGGAGTGTCAGGGGCTTTTCTGGGTGGACCTTGTGGAATCAGAAGCTCTTGGAAGCAGTGTGTCTCCTCTTCCTGTGGAATCAGCCTGTCTCCTCAGGCAGAGCAATTCCCAGACTCTCCTGGCTCCACCCCTGTGGTACTAACAGTCCAACTGCTTCTGGTGCTTGTATAAGGCGCTGCCATGCCCAGGGCTGGGGGCCCTGGAGTATACCTGCTGTGGGCAGGCTTACACCCTCCTTGCTCATTCTCACCCCTGCTTCCACGCACCCTGTTTGATTGCTTCACACAATGCACAGTCAACCTGTGGAACTCTTTGCCAGAGGATGTTGTGAAGGCCAAAACTATAACGGTTCAAAAAAAACCCTAGATAAATTCATGGAGGATAGGTCCATCAGTAGCTATTAGCTAGGATGGGCAGGAATGGTGTCCCTAGCCTCTGTTTGCCAGAAGCTGGGAATGCATGACAGAGGATGAATCTCTTGATTACCTGTTCTGTTCACTCTCTCTGGGGCACCTGGCATTGGCCACTGTCAGAAGACAGAATACTGGGCTAGATGGACCTTTGGTCTCACCCAGTATGGCCGCTCTCATCTTTTTATGTTCTTCTGAGGTACTGAGTCTATTCACGATAACATGTGGCCCAGTCCATTGATGGAAAATTGTGTTCAGGTACAGCATAAGATAACTTGGTTTCCAATTTCCCAAGCATTTTTTCTTTGATTCTTATTAAAATAGGTTTTGCCTTTTGTTTGAATTTTTCCAATTTGACAGCTACCTGCAAGTGGATCTGATATGAATGTTTTTGTAATGCTTGCAGATAGGTTTTTAGTTTGATTTTCTTTAGCTGTGTGCCACTGGTATGCCACAAAAGATGTTTAGGCATTGGCATAGTTTGTCCAGTTATTACATCAAATAGTGTATGAGCTGTGGAGGCAGCTGGAGTCGCCCTGAGTGCCATTAAAATGAGCGGAATTAGGGTGTTCCTATTGTGTCATCTACCTGTGTTCGCAGCATGAGTTTGATGGTGTGATTTGTTTACTCTACCATCTCTGATGATTGAGATCTGTACAAAATATGCAATTTTTGTTGCACTTCCAACAATTGTAGGCATTTTTGGAACACTTGTCCAGTAAAATGTGTTTCTCTGTCTGACACTACCCTAGCAGGGAGTTCCCAGCGAGAAAAGACTTGTTTCATTAAAAAGCAACAGAGGGTCCTGTGCCACCTTTGAGACTAACAGAAGTACTGGGAGCATAAGCTTTCGTGGGTAAGAACCTCACTTCTTCTAGATGCAAGAAGTGAGGTTCTTACCCACGAAAGC